GTACCACGGGCGGTACAGTGGCTTCTCGGCCCGTCAGAGGGCTTCCCACCGGCCGGACTCAGCCCCGCGGGGCCGGAACCGCACCCGCTTCCCTCCCTCGGCACACATCCCGGCACGAGGTCTCTGCCGCCGCCGGGGGAACTTGGGGTCGGAGGACGGAGAGAAGGGGCGCGATCCCAGCATATCCTCTGGTACCTGGAGGCTACCTCGTCCTCTGCAGGCAGGGGCCTGTCTCTGAGCTTTGAGGCGGGACCCAGGGCCTCAGATGCGCCGGTGCCCTGGCCCCTCACCAAGCAGAGGGCCCGGTGCTCATTTTGAAATGTATAGAATTTCCAAATTACTCTATTGTGTAACAAGAAGTAACATAGTGTTTTAGATCAGTTATATTTTGAATCTCAGAATAATTACAATGAGTGAAAGGAGCCAGACAAAAAAGAATATACTGTATGATGTAGTTTATATCAATTCTAGAAACTAATCTACAGTGACAGAAAGCAGGTCACTCCTTGCCTGGGGAGGGAGGGATGATGAAGGGGTACAAGAATATTTTGGATGTTGATGGATGTGTTCACCATCTTGATTGTGGTATGGTTTCACAGGTGTATGCATTTGTGAAAACTTACCAAACTGTACACTTTAAAATATGTGCATTTTATTGTATGTAAATTATACCTCAGTAAATTTATTTAAAAAGCACATAAAATCCATAGAAATATTTAAAATTCCAGGGACTTTCCTGGTGGTCCAGTGGGTAAGACGCTGTGTTCCCAATGCAGGGGTCCCGGGTTCGATCTCTGGTCGGGGAACTAGATCCTGCGTGCATGCCGCAACTAAGCGCCCGCATGCCGCAACTAAGACCCGGTGCAGCCTAAATTACTAAATAAATAAATAAATATTTAAAGAAAATAAAATTTCAAAAGCTTAATTTTATTTTTAGAGGTATTGAGTTTAAAGATAATAGAAATCTTGACTCAGTGTTCATATTCTCTATGTTTCTACCATGTATTACCTAAGTCTCTTAATATGTATTTTTTTTAAAGAAACTGCTTTTTATTTATTTATTTATTTATTTATTTATTTATTTATTTATTTATTTATTTATGGCTGTGTTGGGTCTTCGTTTCTGTGCAAGGGCTTTCTCTATTTGCGGCAAGCGGGGGCCACTCTTCATCGCGATGCGCGGGCCTTTCACTATCGCGGCCTCTCCTGTTGCGGGGCACGGGCTCCAGACACGCAGGCTCAGTAGTTGTGGCTCACTGGCCTAGTTGCTCCGTGTCATGTGGGATCTTCCCAGACCAGGGCTCAAACCCGTGTCCCCTGCATTGGCTGGCAGATTCTCAACCACTGCGCCACCAGGGAGGCCCTCTTAATATGTATTTCGTATAACTTTGTCTTCTTTGGTTACGGTTTTTTATGCTCTGTCTGGTATCTATATATGAAATAGTTAATGACCCCTAAACTTACTTAGTTTACACAGTGTTTACATAAAGTTTTTTAACTACAGGGACAGACTCCTGATTGGATTAAGAGACTGGTTTAATTATGCTTATTACTAGTACCTTTATCTTTTCTGTTAGACTTTGAATAATTCATGATGAACTCATTTTGTTTGTTTAAATGTGAAGTTCGCTCTAGGAATTCTGTAACTCAAAAGAGAATGACTTTTAAAAAATAGTATGAATTTTGTTCATTATGTGCATTTTGCTGAAAGGAAAGCACTGTAGCCCACTTCTGATAGTTTGATTATCCTTAACAGGGCCTTAGGCACATAATAAGATCTTAGTTGCATTACAAATGAATCGATGCCGTAAACTTGTACTTCATACTAGGTAAAAGCTGACAAGATGATATCAAAACAAGCTTCTTGGGTTTCCCTGGTGGCGCAGTGGTTAAGGATCTGCCTGCCAATGCAGGGGACACGGGTTCAAGCCTTGGGCTGGAAAGATCCCACGTGCCGCGGAGCAACTAAGCCTGTGTGCCACAACTACTGAGCCTGCGCTGTAGAGCCTGTGAGCCACAAGTGCTGAACCCACGTGCCACAACTACTGAAGCCCACCTCAGTGAGAAGCCTGCGCACTGCAGTGAAGAGTAGCCCCGGCTCGCCACAACTAGAGAAAGCCCGTGCGCAGCAATGAAGACCCGACGCGGCCATAAATAAATAAATAAATAAATAAATAAATTTATTATTATTTTTTAAAAAACAAAAAATTTTTTTTAAAAAACAGTCTTCTTCTACAGAATAACAATTTGATTATAAATCCAACTGGGAAGTGTGCCTGTTAATCACTTGTTAACTCAGGAGTATTTTAACTTAGTGAGTTAGGATAAAGCATTTTATTTAATTGATGTCTTTTTTATTTTCTTCCTCTCTTCTAGGATATATAGAAGCAGCCATGATAGAAGACAAAGGGCCAAGAGTGACTGACTACTTTGTTGTGGCAGGTCTCATTGATACATCTACTCTTTTGGATCAAGAAATAAATCGTTTAGATACTAAGTCTACTGGACCTAAAGCTCCAATTACAGACATTGCAGTTATTAACAAATCAGCTGGGGAAACAGTACCTGAGGGTTACACCTGTGTTGAAGCCACTCCGTCAGCTCTGCAGGCAAACTTGAACTACGGAAGTCTGAAAAGCCCAGAACTGTTCCTCTGTTATAAGAGAGGGAGAGATAAACCACCCCTCACTGACATTGGGTACGGTGACTTATTTTCTTTTGCTATAGTGAAGAGAATAAAATTTATTTAAGGTTCATAGCAATAGAAATTCAAAATCCTTGATAGTTCTATTATTATTTGTTATTTCAAAATCAAGTATAGTAAGATATATGTATCTCTGTCCAACCTTACTGAATTTCTCTGTATAGGGTTGAGTCACTAGATTATTTCCTTTCAAAAGTATATTGAAATGAAGGCGTTAGAGCCTGAAATGTGATTTCATTTCTGTTTGTACATATCAGATAAGCTTATTAATTAAACATAAAAGAGCAAAAAGCTATAATAAAAGACAGTATATTTTTAAGGAGCTAGTCGGGTTACGCGATGAACTTTTGTGAAGCTCTGAACTCATTTAACAAAGGAACGTTCCTGTTTTAAAAAATACAATTGGGACTTCCCTGGCAGTCCAGTGGTTAAGACTCCCTGCTTCCATTGCAGGGGGCACGGGTTTGATCCCTGGTTGGGGAACTAAGATCCTGCATGCCATGGGGCATGGCCACAAAAAAAAAATATGAAAAATACAATTGCACTGTGTGGTTTTTAATGCCAGGAGCAAAGCATTTACGGTTTAGAAGGAGTATAGTTGTTATGAGGTATTTAGTGTCTGGTCCACAGCCAATGAAGATGATTCTTCTGTGTAAAAGCTTTTTCTCCAAAAATGTCTATGTTGACTCTTCTTTATATAAGATGTGCTTTTAGAATACCTGTAGTACTTTACCATATATACATGTCATGTATTAAGCTCTTCTGCTCATTATAATTACCATCAGTTAGTACAAACATGTATTTGAGAGCATCTTGGGAAATATTCAGGATCAATTTGTTCATTTATGCAAAACACGCAGTTGGAATTTTGATGGGTATTGCATTTAATCTGCATATCAATTTGGGGGGAGTATTGCCATCTTTACCATATTAAGTCTTCCAAACTATATGAGTTTTCTTTCCATTTATTCAGGTCTTATTTCTTTTAGCACCGTTTTATGGGTTTTAGTGTACAAGTCTTTCACCTCCTTAATTTTTAAAAATACTTATTTATTTTATTTATTTGGTTGCGCTGGGTCTTGGTTGCGGCAGGTGGCCTCCTTAGTTGTGGCATGCAACCTCTTAGTTGCAGCATGCATGTGGAATCTAGTTCCCTGATCAGAGATCAAATCCAGGCCCCCTGAATTGGGAGCACAGAGTCTTAACCATGGCACCACCAGAGAAGTCCCTCCTTAATTAATTTTATTAAATATTTCATTCTTTTGGATTCTGTTATAAACGGGATTATTTTCTTAATTTCTTTTTCGGATTGTTCATTGCTGATGTGTGGCAACACAGGTGCATTTTATCAACTTCATGTGTTAATCTTATACCCTGCAATTTTGCTGAATTTGTTAGCTCTAATAGCTTTCTTGTGGATTTTGGGGGGATTTTTTATTGTATAGGATCATGTCATTTGCAAATAGAGATAGTTTTGTTTGTTTGTTTTTGCGGTACGCGGGCCTCTCCCTGTTGTGGCCTCTCCCGTTGCGGAGCACAGGCTCCGGACGCGCAGGCCCAGCAGCCATGGCTCACGGGCCCAGCCGCTCCGCGGCATGTGGGATCCTCCCGGACTGGGGCATGAACCTGTGTCCCCTGAATCGGCAGGCGGACTCTCAACCACTGCGCCACCAGGGAAGCCCTAGAGATAGTTTTATTCCTTCCTTTGCACTTTGGTTTATGCCCCCAAACACACCCCCCTTGTCTTATTGCTCTGGCTAGAACTTAACAGTATAGTGTTGAATAGCAGTGGTGAAAGCAGGCATCCTTTTCTCATTCCTATCATAGGTGGAAGGCTTTCAGTCTTTCACTATTGAGTATGATGTTAGCCATGGGTTTTTCATAAATGCTATTTATCATGTTAAGGAAGGTCCCTTCTATTGCTGGTTTTATGAGGGCTTTTACCATAAAAATGTGTTGGGTTTTGTCAATTGCCTCTTCTTTTTTAATTGTTAACGATCATGTGGATTTTTCCTTCATTTTATTAATGTGATGTATTACATCGATTGCGTTTCTTACATTGAGTCCCTCTTTTAATGTAACCATAATACCACACCTGAAAAATGATTAATTCTTGAATATCATCATATATCCAAATTACCATGATTGTACCACGAAATGTTTTTTTTTAAACAGTTGGTTGCTGGTGGTTCTGTTCATAGTTGTTCTGATATTAAGAATGGTAGTGAGCTGCTACATTTGACCACCACTTGTTTTGCTCATCATTTCCTTTACTGTTCCAACAGAGTTCTGGTGAAATTGTCCCAAGGTCCTCATTATGTTCAAATTTCCAAAGCCAAAGGATGTTTTGTCCTTATCTTACTTTACTTTAACTCCTTTAGTATAGTACATATCACCCTATTTAGCTTCTACAATTTTCCTTCAAGTCAGTACAGTTGCAGTGGGGGTCATACAACTTTATAAGATTAGTGGACGTAAGAGCCAGTTTAGAAAGGACGGAGCATGATTGGGAACTGGAGTTATAGAGGCTTCTTTTTGAAAGCGTGACTTTAGGGGAAAGAGAAGATAGTTATGGGCCTTGCTATTTTGTCCATGGTCCAGTATTGTCCATAGGGCCTGTAAGTGTGTTAGAGAGTCAGAATCTCAGGCACTGCCCTAGATCTGCTGAATCTGTATTTTAACAAAATCCCCAGCAGCAATGGTTTAGGATACCTGGAAGGTGAGAGGAAAACAGAGTCCAGGGCTATTTTTTAACATTTCTCCCAGGAGAGAACCTTGAACATCTTTATATTGAAGGGAAGAAACCAATGGAGAAGGAAGGGTTGAAAATATAGGACTGAGAGGTTTTACTGTCAGTTCTTTTATTTTCTCTGTGGTTTTCTTAAGAAGATACGTAATATCCGTAATAGGATGGGTATAGGATAAAAGTTTGATAATATTCATGTCAGTTGAAGGGAAACCAGCCCCAGGGACTTACTTGTGTTCCAGCCCTCACTGTTCTCTCTGTTAGCCATCCTTTAAAGGTTATCTGTTCACATCCTCATCCCCAGACCTCCCACCATATAGTTGTAATCAAAAGGGTATAAGTCTGTGAAAGATTGTTGTTGCTTGTGATTCAGGGGCATAACTTAAAAATGATGACTTAGATAATTATACTTAGATGCTTTTAGGTTGCAAGCGGCTCTTTCATTTATATCTTGCAGTTCCCTAAGGCTTCCAGTTTCTGTTAACTGATCCAGGTTTGCTTGAGTGTGCGGTCGTCTTTTAGCTGATCATGGTGGTAAAGTTTCTCTCCAGATCAAGTAATTGTTAATATCTGGTGATCTGGTCTTTTTTCCCCTCTTTCCCCTCAATTAAGCATACTAGTGAGGTTTGGAAAAACCTGTTAGCCAGTATAAAGACAGGTACCCATCTCATTCAACTAAATATGAAACAGAGTTGTCAAACTTTTGACCTTTTGGACTGCTTTATAAACAAGATGAGATATTTATAAAAATAACAGTTTTTTTTCCTGGAAAAGATGTTAAGTTACAATGTGTAAGATCTGATATTCCCTCATAATTTCAAATACTTCATAAAGTGTAATTTAAACAGGTCACTATATTATTGTATATGTCAGATGTGTTTTTTGAGATAAAGAATCACAGACTATACAAAGTTTTTATCTTCCTTCACTTATCAGATTGATTGACTTTCATATGAATTTTTTTTTCCAGCACTTTTGGTTTTTGAAAAATTTCAAACATACGGAAAAGTTAACAGAATATTGTAATAAACACCAGTATCCTTTTCTCCTAAATGGTAAACTGTAGTATAATGAACAATATGCTGTCCATCTAGATTCAACAAATTAACATTTTCCAGTATTTTTGTTGAACTATTTGAAACGAGGCTGAAGCTATCATAACAATTCTCCTATGAATACTTCACCGTGCATCCCTTAAGACATGTTCCTAATGACCATGGTATATAGAAAATTAATAATTCCATCATATTTTTCAGTATCCACTCCCTAGCCAAATATTTGCAGTCGTCTCAAGAATGTTTATTTATAGCTTAAAAAAAAATCCAGGATCCTGTCATGGCTTACCTGTTATATTTGGTTACTGTACCTCTTTAGTCTGTTTATCTAGAACATTCCCCAACATTTTTCTGTGATATATAGACATTTTGAAGAGTCTGGGCCACTTGTTTTATAGAATGCCCTACATTCTAGATTTATCTGACTGTTTCCTCATCAAGTCATTTAACTTGTTCCTTTATTGTCAGTATTTCCTGTAAACTGGATGTTAGGTTTAAAGTCTGGATTAAATGTACATTAAATATTTTTGGCAAGAATACTTACAGGTAGCGCTAGCATCAGGAAAGCATGTAGTGACAGATTGTCCCATAATTAGCGGTACTAAGTTCAGTCACTTGGTTAAAATGGTTAATTGCTTGCTATCTATTGTAAAGGCATTTTTATTTTTTCTGTTATTTAAGTAATTTGTGGAGTTGTGGGCATTGTTTAAATATCTTGTCCCCTAACACCTTTTCACTTACTGTTTCCATTGGTCATTGCCTGAATTAGATCTTGTATGGGGGGATGTAAAAATGAGACTTTTCTAACACTGTCATTTAAAAAATACATTTTTAATTGGCATTTTATTATAATGAAGAGCTTTCCTATTCTCTTGGCCTCATTTTTTTTTTTTTTTTTTTTTTTTTTTTTTTTGTATAACGGGCTCTCCATAAGAAGAGAGGAAGGGGTTTCCTTCCAGAGAGGCAGAGTTGATGGTCCAGATGCTCTGTCACCCTTGGTGCCAGTGATTTGAGACACATCTTGTCTAATCCTTGTTCTTTCCCTCTAGCATTCACTGAAACATTAAACTCATCTATAATGGAAGCTCTGCATTGGCAAGGGTTTGCATCCTCTGCAATGGAAAACAGATGACTGTACTTTTGCTTGCTGTGATCCCCATTGACTTTGGGACTTCTAAACTTCTAGAAACATGTCCCTATATTAAGATTTAGAATAGAGAGAGAATGCAGTATTAGTTTGCATAATATTCTTCCTAGAAGCTGCATCACAAAATTCTTCAGCTGTAAGCAGAGACCCGATGGAGAATGCATTACAGAACGCAGCTTGATTGGGGCATCTATAAAGGTGGAAGCTGAAGAGAACAATTGAAGGGCCTCAGCCAGGGAGAAAGATGTGTTTGCTGAGACTTTTTTTTTTATCCTTTGGGAAAAAGAGCTAGTGACAGCCAGCAGCCCCTATGTGAGGGGAGAACGATAGAGGGAAGTTCTGATGGCTGTGTAGACCTCAGGGTAGCTGGTAGATATAGTGAAGGGGACGGGACTCTGATCCTGAGCTCAAGAGCATCCTGGCTCGGGCCTTAGGTCTTCCCAATGACTTCACTACAGAGACCCAGAAATGCATTTCAGGAATATCCAGAGGATATTTGGAGGAACATCTTGTGTACAAGCCTAGGAAGGCCTATGGCAGCCTTGAACAAGAACCTTGAGGGGAATAATTCCATACAGAGTGATGCTTGGGTTAAATTTTGGGAGAATGCAGAATAATTATCACTTTTTGAGACCAACTTTGTGCCAGGCAATGAACTAAGGTGTTTTACCTACATTATCTCATTTAATCCTCAGAACAAATGTACAAGGTGGCTGTTTAGTCTTCTTCTATAGGTAAGAAAACTGAAGGTCAGAGAGATCCACTCATTCAACAAACAGTACTTATAATAATAGCAAACATTTATTGGGTATATGCTATGTGCCAGACACTGTTCTAAGTGCTTAGCTGAATTATTTCATCTCTATCTTCATAGCAACCCTATGAAATAATTACCATTTATGTAACCACTTTAAGATGGAGAAGCCAGCAGAAAAAGTTTAAGTAACCTTGCCTCAAGCCACATAGTTAGTCAATGTCAGAGCCAGGGTTCAAATCCAGACAGTCTGACTTGAACTCTGAGACCTTCACTGTGACATAACTTACGTGGCAGTTATGCTCCCAGAACCATGCTGAGCACTGAGGCAGAGTACAACAAGGCAGACATGATCCTGAGCTTCATGGAATGTACTCCTTAGTGCTAGAGAGGTTAAGTGAATTGTCTAAGGTCATATAGCTATTCTGGGTTGGAGGTTTGGACTGAAGTCTTTCAAAAAATCACATGTTACAGGGCATCTAAGCACCTGTCAAATACCCTCTGCACATCTGATCAGGACTCTAAGCCCTTGGAGTACCCTGTAGCCTTCCTTACTCTCCTAGTCTGTGTTCTGCCATTTTATCCTGTTTCTTCATCTTCCCTCTTCTTGTCTCTGATTTTATGCTATCTTCCCGAACCTAACGCAGCAAATCTAACCCGTGTCCCCTGCATCGGCAGGCGGACTCTCAACCACTGCGCCACCAGGGAAGCCCAAGCACCGCTTATTAAATTAAAAAGTCCATCTTTCCCTCAGTGTATTGAGGTGTCACCTTTATCATATACTAGATTTCTGTTCATTGTTCTTTCTGTTTACTCATTTGCCAATACTATTTTGATTTAAATATGGAGGCTTTATATTTAGTTGGGCTTTAACAACTTCATTGAGCTATAATTCACATATCATACAATTCACCCATCTAAAGTGTACAATTAAATGGTCTTTAGTATATTCACAGAGTTGTGCAGCCACAATCCATTTTAGAACATTTTCATCACTCTGAAAAGAAACCTTATACCCTTAGCAGTCACTCTCCAATATTCTTTCCTACTCTCTAGTCCTAGGCAATTACTAAATTACTTTCTGTCTCTGTAGATGTACCTGTTCTGGACATTTTATGTAAATGCAATCATACTATATGTGGTCTTTTTTGTCTGGCTTTTTTCACTTAATATGTTTACATGGTTCATCCATGTTGTACCATGTATCAGTACTTCTTTGTTTTTATTGATCCATGATATTGTTACATGGCTATACTACAATCTACATATCCATTCATTAGTTGATGGACATTTGATTGTTTCCACTTTTTGGCTGTTGTGGATAATGATGTTATAAGCATTTGTGTACCAGTGTTTACATAGATGTGTTTTCTTTTCTCTTGTGTATATACTGAGAAAAATCTATGTTTATTTTTCCTCTTGGGTCATGTGGAAGATCTATGCTTAACCCATTGAGGAACTCAGACTGTTTTCCAGAGCTGTTGATTTCCACCAGCATTGTATGAGGATTCCAATTTTTCTGATACTTGTTATTATCTGTCTTTTTTATTCTAGCCATTCCCATGAATGTGAAGTGGTATCTCATCATGGTTTGATTTGCAGTTCCCTAATGGCTAATAGTATGTTCAGGATCTTTTTATGTGCTTTCGGACATTTGTATATCCTCTTTGGACAAATGTCTATTTAGATTCTTTGCCCATTAACAACAAAGAAGATGTTTTATTTTATTTTATTTTATTATTATTTTTTTGCGGTACGCAGGCCTCTCACTGTTGTGGCCTCTCCCGTTGTGGAGCACAGGCTCTGGATGCGCAGGCTCAGCGGCCATGGCTCACGGGCCCAGCCTCTCTGCAGCATGTGGGATCTTCCCGGACCGGGGCACGAACCCGTGTCCCCTGCATCGGCAGGCGGACTCTCAACCACTGCGCCACCAGGGAAGCCCAAGATGTTTTATTTTAAAATAATTTTGCAGAAGAATTGTAAAGATAGTACACAGAATTCCTATATATCCTTTGCCAGTCCCGTGCCCATTTTTAAATGGTGTAATTTTTTTATATTGATTTGTAAGATTTTTTTTTTTTTACATATTCTGGAAAGAATTTCCTAGTTAAATATATGATTTGCAAATATTTTCTCACAATCTGTGGTTATCATTTCACTTTCTTGATGGTATCAATTATAGCACGCAAGTTATTAATTTTAATGAAGTCCAGTTTATCTGTTTTTCTTTGGTCACTTGTGCTTTTGGTGTCATTATATAAAAATGCTTAGTCTAACACAAGGCCACAAAGATTTATTCCTGTGTTTTTTTCTTGGAATTTTATAGTTTTAACTCTTACATTTAAGTGTTTGATCCACTTTTGGTTTTCTGGTGTGTAGTGTAAGGAAGGGGTCCAACTTTGTTCTTTTGCATTTGGATATCCAGTTGTCCCAGCACCATTTGTTGAAAAGATTATTCTTCTCCCATTGATTTATCTTGCCACTCTCGTCAAAATCAATTGACTGTAAGTGTATGGGTTTAATTCCAGACTATCCACGTTATTGCATTGATCTATATGTTTATCCTTATTCTAGTACTGCACTGTACTGATGACTAGATTGGTAGTAAGTTTTGAAATGGGGGAGTGTGAATCCTCCAAGTCTGTTGTTGTTTTTCCAGATTGCTTTGGCCTATACTGGGTCCCTTGCATTTCCATATGAACTTTAGGATTTTGTTGCCTATTTCTAAAAAAGCAGGCAGCTAGGATTTAGATAGTAATTTGACATCTAACCAATATTAAGTCTTCTTATCTATGACCATGAGATGACTTTTTATTTATTAGCTCATCTCCAGTTTCTTTAAATGGTGTTTTATAGTTTCAGTCAGGGGATTTTTTTTCTTTTTTTTTTTTTTTTTTTGCGGTACGCGGGCCTCTCACTGCAGTGGACCCTGCCGTTGCGGAGCACAGCCTCTGGACACGCAGGCTAGGCGGCCATGGCTCACGGGCCCAGCCGCTTCGAGGCATGTGGGATCCTCCCGGACCGGGGCATGAACCCGTGTCCCCTGCTTCGGCAGGCGGACTCTCAACCACTGCGCCACCAGGGAAGCCCAGTCAGGGGATTTTTAAAGGTGAAATTTTGATAGGAATTATGAAGGTAAATTTTGTGAAAACACCTGAATACTAGATAAAACTTCTGAGAATTGACCTGAGGATGACTGTGGTATTGCCCCTTTTTTGTTTCATATGTTTCTTGTAATAAGCAATAAAATCAAGTTGTTTGATCCTATTTACACTTCTAAAATTGTATTCTAGCTGTTGAAAAATAGTAGGAGATGTATAATTCCCAAAGTAATTATTTTAGTCTTGGTTTGCAGTTAAGATTTGGGAAACAAAAGGGGAGACCAAAAAAAATTTATTTTGTTCTCAGGAGAAAACTAGCCTTAACCTGACATATGTTTACTTATCTATTTATTTCTACCCTCCCTGCCTTGCAGAGTTTTATATGATGGGAAAGAAAGACTAATTCCAGGATGTGAAGTGATCCAAGCCACACCCTATGGTCGCTGTGCCAATGTCAACAATAGTTCAACTACTTCACAAAGAATCTTTATCACTTATCGAAGGGCTCCTCTAATTCGACCCCAGAATTCGTTGGCTGTAACTGATATCTGTGTTATCGTAACCAGTAAGGGAGAAACCCCTCCTCATACCTTCTGCAAGGTTGACAAAAACTTAAATTGCGGAATGGTAAGAATAAAGTTTCATTTCCAAAATTTCATATGAAAGTTAAAAAAAATTTTTTTGGGCTTCTCTTTGTTATTGGGCTTGTTATTTACTCTCAGTTTATATTGTCATGATTTTTTTTAATTACTTTTAGCTCTCTAATTTTTATGGTTCATAATAACTTAAAAAAATCCTTAGCTACCTGATATGTTAGAATAATTTCATCCAGAAAGTAGATGCTTAAAGTCAGGGATTTTTTTTTTTTTTTGATATGTGCTAATACATTACACTAATATACAGGTTTTGTTAGCTTTTGGGTTTTAGTGGTGTCTTCAAGGACAATTACAGGGAGATTGGGTCAAGACACCCTTTATATTTATTTATTTATTTTAAATATTGTAGTTTTCGTATTTATTTTAAAAGGGTTCTACTGAAGAAGAAGATGCACCATATACATTGGATTTATAGTCTTATGACACTAAAGTTTACTGTTGGGTTATGTTTATTTTGTAAAACAACTTAAAGCAAACTAATATTAGCTTAAATGAGGTATAGGCAGAGATGACCCATGCACCCAAGGCTATTAGTCAAGACAGGTTTGTCTCTGGAGATAATGACTTCATGGCACCTAGTGACCCCAGTCTTCCCTAGTTTGGGCTCAGCACCCACGTTTTGTGCTGTTTCTTTCAAATAGAGGCAGCCTCTGCATGATTACAGAATTGTAAAATTTTTGAAACAACCTTTGCATCAGTTTAATTTTCGTGGCAATGTTGTTTTATTCCTTTTCTCTTAATGTTTTCAGTTTCATGTTTTGCTATATTGTATACTATATATAGTCTGTTTGATAAACATGTTTTAAATAGACTTCCCTGAGGAAATAAAATCTTTAGAAGACATTCAACAAAATCAATTTATTATCACTCTTTTGTCTTTTTTTTAAACCTAATTTATATTTTACAGTGGGGTTCCAGTGTGTTTCTGTGTTATAAGAAGTCTGTGCCTGCTTCTAATGCAATAGCATATAAAGCTGGTAAGTAAATGGAAAAAAAAAAGGTCTCTGTATTGTTGCACACTAACATTTGGTTAGAAGAGACAGTGTATGCTCCCTTATACAGTTTGTGGAATTGATCTATTCATAAATTGAATTATCTGTAACTTTAGCATGTAAAGGCATAAGTTTTCCTAAATACATTACATACTACAAGATACATTAGTATTACCCCCCACCAATAAAAATATACTGTTAATTAAATGGAAAATTTCATTCCAAACAAGCATTTGTGGAATAAACATTCAATTTTAGTCTACACTAATAGATTTAATAGTTGAGTGGAAAATAATTACTCTCTGACCTTTTGTATTTTGGCAATCAGAAAGGTGTCAAACTACATCTTTACTTCTTATATATTTCCTTCTCTTATCTCTGTGTGTCTGATTTGAAACCACATGTTACTTGCCATGAAAGGTGGAGTTGCTTCCTTTCTCCCTTGTTGCAAAGAATCAGCTATATGGAAGAGAGGAGGGCCCGAGAACCTTTTCTGCCATGAAGTGTTTGAGAAATCTATCGCCACATTCTTAACTGCACAGTAAAGTGTCAAGGGCTGTAAAGATTTAAGTGTGACCTCTTCATCCCACTGGTATGGTGGGATAAAAACTGAAAATACAGGTATGCTCCAGTTGTAAATAGAAGAGATACTGGAATACTTCTTTGTGAAAAGAAGCAGTGTCAATTACTTTTTATTGTGCACAATTTTTGGAATAAAGTTTTACTTCAGGGAAGTCAGGCAAATCCATATATGAGAAATCTTAATTGTCCTCATAAAGACATTCATACTAATGTATCAAACCATTTAATATAAAAATAAAGGCAGCAATTAACAGTTATAAATTTCAGAGTCACTTTAAAATGTAATACTGTTAATATTGCTGTAATGTGTTGATTATATATGATTTCCTTAGAAGTTTTTTTTTTTTTTGGTGGTGAGAAAGTGTCACTTAAAGAAAACGTATAGAAACAAGTTTTGTGAAGGTGTTCAGGTATTTGATATAAGAAACATATTTTAGAATAAAGAATTTTGGAGACTGAATTTGGACTCAAAATTCTGCTACTGACTTCCAAGTGTTTAACCTAGAGGTGGTCTGTGTATTAGACATATTAGAGGCTAATGAACTGATGCCATGTAGCTACTTTATTCTGAAGGGTCTTTGTTATGCTTCTCTGAGTGCCCCCTGCTCCTGCTTCCTTGATCTTGCATACTCTGTACAGAAACAAGAGTTTCTGTCTCATTTACTTTTCATGTTACATTCATTTTACACTGCTGCTCTCTCAAGAAAAGTTTAGGGGCTGTGATAATTTCTGCTGCCTTGGCATTATTTCATAACACTTGTCCCTTCCCTGAATTTCTTTTTTCTCCCCACAGAAGACTAACTGAAACAGTTGATAAATTTCCCTGTATGTTTCTTGCATTCTCTAAGATGTT